TGACAATCTGGAAAAGGATGTGTCTAGCCTCTTTAAAAAACAAAGGATCAGAAAGGCACCAGGCCCAGATGGTGTGACCCCCTCCTGCCTAAAAGTGTGTGCTGATCAGCTTGCCCCCATCTTCACACTCATCTTCAATAGGTCGCTGGAGCTATGTGAAGTCCCCTCCTGCTTCAAATGCTCCACCATCATTCCAGGACCCAACAAAACCTGCATCAGTAGACTGAACAACTACAAACCTGTTGCCCTGACATCTGGAGTTAGGAAGGGCTTTGCAAGACTTGTGCTGGCCCACCTGAAGGACATCATAGACCCCCTGCTGGACCCTCTGCAGTTCGCCTACCGGGCAAACAGGTCAGTGGATGGGGTAGTGTAGACAACCTTAGCACTGGAGAGACAGACCTGCTCACCTCCCTGCCTCTCCAATTCATATTATTCCTGTTCCATCTTGTTGTGGGTGGTGTGCATTAATGTAGTTAACTAACATCAGAAGTACACATCTCTAGTGTGCAATGTACTTTCTGACACACAGCAATAACACTCCATCTGCAAAGCGTTGCGCCCAATGTGGGGGTCGAACCCACGACCCTGAGATTAAGAGTCTCATGCTCTACCGACTGAGCTAACCGGGCGCTTCAGAAGTTAAAAAAAAAAAGTTCTGTTTTTTCACACTTTGACAAAAAAATTCTCAATTACATAGTCTGGCTAATGGGCGCTGCAATTGAACACAGCAACAACTAATACAAAGTGACAGATATTCCCTGCAGTTGTTATACTTTGTTTGTTACCAAGCGCATGGAGTGATCATCTGTCTTAAAACAGAGTCTAAACACAAGAACAAATCATTTGGCATCTTCAGGAGAACAGCCTCTCTGCTATGGTTTATCCAAAAACCTAAGCAAAATTTGTCCACAATCACACTCGCCATTATCGCTGCTAAAGGGCCCCTGGCAAAACTTTATAGATGATCTGAAAACATTTTGTTGTTCCGGACCTAAATTCTAAAACAGAGCTTCTCTCAACCAGAAGGGGAAAACAGCACATGCAATGCAGCATACATTGAGCTTGCCCAACAGGACTCCTCGTCGGGGAATCGAACCCCGGTCTTCCGCGTGACAGG